TCAGACCCCCAAACATACATGTACAAACGCACTTACATAAATACACTTACATAATTGGCCGCATTGGGAGCTGATCGTAAAGCGGGGGTCCACTGTATATATATATTTTTTCTCAACAAGTCGGCCGTCTCCCACCGAAGCAGGGTGACCCAAAAAGAAAGAAAATCCTCAAAAAGAAAATACTTTCATCATTCAACACTTTCATTGCACTCACACATAATCATTGTTTTTGCAGAGGTGCCCAGAATACAACAGTTTAGAAGTACAGTGGACCCCTGCTTAACCCTTTGACTGTCGAAGGGCCAAATCCTGAAGTTGCTTCTGGTGTCGCAAAATATTCGAAAAAAAAAAAATTATTTTTTCTTATGAAATGATAGAGAATCTTTTCCCGATTGTAAAGACACCAAAAAAACGAAATTTGATGGAAAACTGACGGAATTACGCTCTCGCGAAGTTAGCGACTTCGGCGATATTTAAAAATCGGCAATTTCGCCCACTTTGAGCCCTATTTTCGGCTAATTCCGTTATTCCAGTCAACCAAACTCATAACTATTTCTTCAGAACTCTATTTTTTCTATCGATTGAGTACAAGAAACTGCCCATTTACCGATTTCAACTACCCAATAACATGGTCAGAAATTTGCAATTTGGCCAATTTCACGAAAATTAAAAAATACGACAATTTCAAAATAAGGTCCAGAATGAACAATGCAGACATTCCTGGCTCTAAAATAACATTTTCTTTGTTCATCAGTCATGTCTCCAGGTCCCTGTGATATTACTCTTGCTTTTTATTTTGAAATTTTATTCAAACAAAAAATAGAAGATTTACTGTTATGCAGACTACTGCAATACTGTAATAATTGTAAAAATTAAATCAACCCATTCATGACTGCGTATTAGAATGGCTATTTGGACATTTTTGGACAATGACATCATTTGTTCACTTTTGAACATCGGCAAAAATCAAACATTTCTGTACTTTGTGCTCCATTTCCAGGTTCTTTTTATAGTAAAATTAATCAAATCACCTCCATTTCTATAATATAGTTTCCATTCTATCAAATGAGACCAAGAAAACGAGAATACAACCACAAATACTATACGAAAATAGACCACAAAGTCGACATTTTAATTAAAAAAAACGGTCGGAGTTTTTTTTTTCTCATTATGCACTGCGTGCTCCAGGATTTTTTTTATGTGGTGCACACTGACCACACAGACCCATTCTCTCACATGTGGGCCTACTAGCTTTCTCCTGCCTGATTTGAAGCCGCTAGAATTTATGAGTATATATACGTCAAACACGGTACCTCACAAACGTATATATACGGCCGCGACAGTCAAAGGGTTAACGATCACCTCCCAATGCGACCAATTATGTAAGTGTATTTATGTAAGTGCGTTTGTACGTGTATGTTTGGGGGTCTGAAATGGACTAATCTACTTCACAATATTCCTTATGGGAACAAATTCGGTCAGTACTGGCACCTGAACATACTTCTGGAATGAAAAAACATCGTTAACCGGGGGTCCACTGTATATACATATAAAAATACACAATATATCCCTCCAAACTGCCAATATCTCAAACCCCTCCTCTAGAGTGCAGGCATTGTACTTCCCATTTCCAGGACTCGAGTCCGGTTATATAAAATAACCGGTTTCCCTGAATCCCTTCACTAAATATTACCCTGCTCACACTCCAACAGCTCGTCAGGTCCCAAATACCATTCGTCTTCATTCACTCCTATCTAAGTATCATCAGCAAAAAGTAACTGTGTCACTTCCAATTTTGTATTTAATTCCCCATAATTTAATCCCACCCCTCTCCCAAACACCCTAGCATTTACTTCTTTTACAACCCCATCTATAAATATATTAAACAACCATGGTGACATTACACATCCCTGTCTAAGACCTACTTTTACCGGGAAAGTCCCCCTCTCTTCTACCCACCCTAACCTGAGCCTCACTATCCTCATAAAAACTCTTTACAGCATTTAGTAACTTACCACCTATTCCAGTATGTACTTGCAACATCTGCCACATTGCTTCCCTATCCACTCTATCATATGCCTTTTCTAAATCCATAAATGCAATAAAAACTTCCCTACCTTTATCTAAATACTGCTCACATATATGCTTCAATGGAAACACTTGATCTACACATCTCCTACCTACTCTAAAACCTCCTTGCTCATCCACAATTCTACATTCTGTCTTGCCTCCAATTCTTTCAATAATAACCCTACTGTACACTTTTCCTGGTATACTCAGTAAACTTATAATTTTTACAATCTCTTTTGTCCCACTTCCCTTTATATAAAGGGACTATACACGCTCTCCGCCAATCCCTCTTTCATAAATTTATTAAACAAAAATACCAACCATTCCAACACTATGTCTCCTCCCTGCTTTTAACATTTCTGTCATGATCCCGTCAGTTCCAGCTGCTTTACCCCCTTTCATTCTACGTAATGCCTCACACACCTCCCCCACACTCACATCCTGCTCTTCTTCACTCCTAAAAGATGGTATACCTCCCTGGCCAGCACATGAAATTACCGCCTCCCTTTCTTCGTCGACATTTAAAAGTTCCTCAAAATATTCTCACCACCTACCCAAAACCTCCATCTCCCTATCTACTAACTCCCCTACTCTGGTTTTAACTGACAAATCCATTTGTTCCCTAGGCTTTCTTTACTTGTTTAACTCCAAAATTTTTTCTTATTTTCATTAAAATTTCTTGACAGTACCTCTCCCACTTTTGCACTCTCTCACCACTCTCTTCATCTTTCTTTTACTCTCCATATACTCTGCTCTTCTTATAACACTTCTGCTTTGTAAATACCTCTCATAAGCTACCTTTTTCTCTTTTATCACACCCTTTACTTCATCATTCCACCAGTCACTCCTCTTTCCTCCTTCACCCACCCTCCTATAACCACAAACTTCTGCCCAACATTCTAATACTGCATTTTTAAAACTATTCCAACCCTCTTCAACCCCCCCACTATTCATACCTGCACCAGCCCACCTTTCTGCCAATAGTTGCTTATATTTCACCCGAACTTCCTCCTCCCTTAGTTTATACACTTTCACCTCCCTCTTACTTGTTGTTGCCATTTTCCTCTTATCCCATCTACCTCTTACTCTAACTGTAGCTACAACTAGATAATGATCTGATATATCACTTGCCCCTCTATAAACGTGTACATCTTGGAGCCTACCCATCAACCTTTTATCCACCAGTACATAATCTAACAAACTACTTTCATTACGTGCTACATCATACCTTGTATATTTATTTATCCTCCTTTTCATAAAATATGTATTACTTATTACCAAACCTCTTTCTACACATAGCTCAATTAAGGCTTCCCATTTTCATTTACCCCGACACCCCAAATTTACCTACTACTCCCTAAACAACATTTTTACCCACTTTAGCATTAAAATCCCCAACCACAAGTACTCTTACACTTGGTTCAAACTTCCCATGCATTCACTCAACACTTCCCAAAATCTCTCTCTCTCCTCTATACTTTTCTCTTCCCCAGGTGCATATACGCTTACTATAACCAACTTCTCACATCCAACCTTCATTTTACTCCACATAATGCTTTAATTAATACATTTATAGTCAATCTTTTCCTGCCATAGCTTATCCTCCAACATTATTGATACTCCTTCTTTAGCTCTAACTCTATTAGAAACCCCTGACTTAATCCCATTTATTCCTCTCCACTGAAACTCACCCAACCCCTTCAGCTATGTTTCACTTAAAACCAGGACATCCAGCTTCTTCTCATTCATAACATCCACAATCTCTTTCTTATCATTCGCACAACATCCACGCACATTCAGACTTCCCACTTTGACAATTTTCTTCTTCTTATTCTTTTTAGTAATTATTACAGGAAAAGGGGTTATTAGCCCATTGTTCCCGGTATTTTAAGTTGACTTTTACAACACGCATGGCTTACGGAGGAAAGATTCTTATTCCACTTCCCCATGGATATAAAAGGAAATGTAATTAGAACAAGAACTAAGATAAAATCAAAGAAAACTCAGATGAGTGTGTATAAATAAACGTGTAGTGTGACCTAAGTGTAAGTAGAAGTAGCAAGATGTACCTGTAATCTTGTATATTTAGGAGACAGACGAAAGAAACCAGCAATCCTACCATCATGTAAAACAATTACAGGCTTTCGTTTTACACTCACTTGGCAGAACTGTAGTACCTCCCTGGGTGGTTGCTGTCTACCAACCTACTACCTACAAATATATATTATATAGATAAATTAAAATTTAAACAAACATTTAAAATAACATTTACTTACCTCTATTGAAGAGACTTGCTGGCATCTGGAAGATACGGAGGAGGAAAGAGGGAGGACTTATTGTTTGGAAGGGGAATCCCCTTCTATGAAGACTAAGTAACAAGTCCTTATCTGGAGTTACTTCCCTCCTTTGTTTTTAAGGCCAGTAGGTCCAGCTTGAGAGTTGCTGGACCCCTGTCTCACAAAATAACTGTCAAGAGTGCTCTGTTTCTGGCATCTCTAAGATTTCTTTGAAGTGGGACAAGGTTTTGTCATTGAACATGTTGCAGATATGGCTTGTTTCAGCTTGGTCAGAGTGACACTTTTCAACAAATGCTGGCTGGCTGGCTGGCTGGCTGGCTGGCTGGCTGGCTGGCTGGCTGGCTGGCTGGCTGGCTGGCTGGCTGGCTGGCTGGCTGGCTGGCTGGCTGGCTGGCTGGCTGGCTGGCTGGCTGGCTGGCTGGCTGGCTGGCTGGCTGGCTGGCTGGCTGGCTGGGGCTGGCTGGCTGGCTGGTGGCTGGCTGGCTGGCTGGCTGGCTGGCTGGCTGGCTGGCTGGCTGGCTGGCTGGCTGGCTGGCTGGCTCTTTTTTCCTTTGGGGCCACCCCACCTCAGTGGGATATGGCTGGTACATTGAAAGAAGAACACTTAATTATGGTATGCAAAATGCATCTTACCTCAAAATCAAAGGATCTGGTAGTAGAGCCAGATCTAGCAAAATTCACTGAAGAGATTTCATCAAATCGAATATGAACAGGTGGCTTATGTACATAGATGAGACCTCGCTCTAGTGGATATAAATAGCCAGCAGCTGCCTTGTATGAACAACTGATAGCAGGAGTTCCAGAATGTCTAGAGAAAGATGAAGATAATGTCTAATATCACACAGTATTTCAATATGTTTATTATAAGAAAACTGAAATTTATCAATGATGATTAATCAGTATTAGCATTTAGAAGAAAAGCATAAACTCTTTACAAATGTTCTTGGTGCCACATAAATGAATGGCAGTGAAGCCCATTTGCTTATTCTATATCTTTATATATGTAAATACAGATAAATTATAAGCACCACACATGGAATTAAAAGTGTCTATAGACATTAGCAAAATTAGCAAAACATTGAAGAAAAATATATATTAATTTACAAAGCAGTCTCAATGGGTACTATAGTTACCTTAGAAGAAAATGTAATTGGTAATAAACTCAAATTTTTTCTTCAGAGGAAAATGAACATTTCAAAATTTACACTAAAGCATTTTTCCATTATCTAAAACCAATCAATACTGCCCAGCTTACACAAAGTATAATTTGCAATACCTCCAAATGATCCAGTTGGAACAACAGCTTATATAAAAACAGGGATTACCACAGACATGCTACAAGGCAGCATAAAATGACAGCCTCTCAGTACACTGCCCATCTCTGAGCAAAGACTGACCATAATTCTCCATCAGGGACAAATCTCTACTCAAATCTCTGGGTCCAACATTATCCAATTTCCCAATTCATTGCTAATAATAGAGATATTACTAAGAGAAAGCTTTTAACTCTTCTGTTGTCTCTCAACTAGATCTATGTGCCAAATTATGAAGAGAATTACTGCATCTTCTGAAATAATAGAGAATATTTTTTTCTGTAGATGACACCAAAAACACGAAATATGATGGAATACTTACAGAGTTATGCAAGTGCAAATTTGGCACTCTGGGTACAGTTTATGCATCAATGATTTTTGCCAAATTTGTCTTGTTTTAACCTTTTCGCTGACTGTGCCGTAGTATTATGCCATGAGCTCAGCTCACTCAGATAAGCTGTGAGCAGTAAATTTGGGCCTAGATATGAGAGAATGGATCTATGTGATAATTGTGCATCATATAAAAAAAACCTGCATCATGCAGTGCATAATGAGAAAAAAAACTGTGACCATGTTTTTGGTTTAAAACAGCAACTTTGTGGTGTAGTTTTGTATGGTTTTTATAGTTGTATTCTTGGTTTCATTTGATAGAATGGAAGATATATTACAGAAATAGAGATAATTCTGACTGGTTTCAGATTGAAAATAGCTTGAAACTGGTGGGTTTAATATGCATTCACGAATGTGCTGATATTATTCATATAATTATTACAATATTGCATAATGGTAAATCTTTTTTTTTTTTTTTGTGAATAAAAATTTTTTGTGAATAAAAAATAAAAATGAAATTGATGTGTAAAGCCTGGGAATGTAACTAATGAGCAGAGAAAATGCTATTTTAGTGCCAGGAATGCCTGCATTATTCTAAACCCTATTTTGAAATAAAAATATTTAGAAATGTGTGAAACTGGTGAAATTACAAATTTCTGATCCCTTTATTGGGTAGCTGAAATAGTTAATTGGGTGATTTCTTGTGCTCAGTCGATAAAATGGAAGATATACTACCGAAACAGCTAAGAATTTGATCAACAGGAACAATGTAATTGGCCTAAAATAGGACTCAAAGTGGGCAAAATTGCCAATGCATAAATATCAGTGATGCAGCAAATTCACGAAAGCGTAATTTTGTCAATTTTCTATCAAATTTTGTACTTAATTTTATTACTTTCAGAAAAAGATTCTCTATCATTTCATAAGAAAAAAGAAAGTTTTTTTGAAAATTCTTGGACACCGTGGACAAGTTTTGGATCAGGGTCTGGACAGTGAAAAAGTTGAGTCAATTCTAATCCTCATTTCAACCTAATTTCAGTCATTTCACCAGTATTCTTTCTGCTCTATCAATTGCACACAAGATACCAACATTAACCCTTTGACTGTTTCGGCCGTATATATACGTCTTACGAGCCAGTGTTTCGGACATATATATACTCAATATTTCTAGCAGCTTCAAATCAAGCAGGAGACTGTATAAAAAAATTCTGCAGTACACAGTGCATGAGAGAAAAAAAACTCCGACCGTGTTTTTGGATTAATACGCCAACTTTGAGGTGTATTTTCCTACAGTATTTATGGTTGTATTCTCGTTTTCTTGGTCTCATTTGATAGAATGGAAAACATGTTATAAAAATAGACATGATTTTTGATTAGTTTCACAATGAAAATGACCTTGAACTTGAGCTCAAAGTAGTGGAAATATCGATTTTTACCAATGTTCAAGAGTAAGCAAATCACACCACACGTCCAATACATGTCAACTGGGGAGTCTAATATTCTTTCACTAGTGAAGTGATATTTATATCATTTTTACAGTACAGTGGACCCCCGGTTAACGATATTTTTTCACTCCAGAAGTATGTTCAGGTGCCATTACTGACCGAATTTGTTCCCATAAGGAATATTGTGAAGTAGATTAGTCCATTTCAGACCCCCAAACATACACGTACAAACGCATTTACATAAATACACTTACATAACTGGTCGCATTCGGAGGTTATCGTTATGCGGGGGTCCACTGTAATGCAGTAGTCTGCATAACAGTAAATCCTCTATTTTTTGTGTGAATAAAAAATCAAAACAGAAAGCAAGAGTAATGTAAGAGGGGCCTGGAGACGTGACTAATGAACAGAGGATATGTTATTTTAGTGCCCAGAATGTCTGCTTTGTTTATTCTGGACCCTATTTTGAAACTGGCATCTTTTTTAATTTGTGTGAAATTGGCCAAATTGCCAATTTCTGACCACTTTATTGGGTAGTTGAAATCGGTAACTGGCCAGTTTCATATACTCAATTGATAGAAAAAATGGAGTTCTAAAGAAATAGCTATGAGTTCGGTCACCTGGAACAATGGAATTGGCCGAAAATAGGCTCAAAGTCGGCAAAATCACTGATACGTATATATCACTGAGATCGCTAACTACGCGGGAGCATAATTCCATAAGTTTTCGATCAAATTTCATGCTTTTGGTGTCATTACCATTGGGAAAAGATTCTCTATCATTTCATAAGAAAAAAAAAATTTTTTTCCTCCAAAAAATTTTCAATACCCGGAAACACTTCAGGATTTGGGGCTGCGACAGTCAAAGGGTTAAACTACCAGAACTACCTTATAACGTGGACATAATTAGGCAGTGTGGCCAATTTTACACAAAATTAAAAATATTCAAATTTAAAAATAGATTCCAAAATAAACACCAAGTATTCCAAGTACTAAAACAACTTTTCTCTGTTCATTACTCATGTCCCCAGGCCTTGCCTATGTAACAGTTGTCCTCCATTCGAAATTCAACACACACAAAAATAATAAGAAGTTTTACCCCATTTCTTAGATAAAATACAATCAAGAAAATTGCCAAAAAAACAAATATTTCCATCACTTTGAGCCCTATTTCAAGATGCTTCTGGTTCTGCAACTGACTAAAATCATCTCCTTTTCACTTGTATGTCTTTCATTCTAGCAATTGATACCAAAAAAACAGCAAATAAAACCATAAAAATCATCCTCGAAAACACCTTGAAATTGCTATTTTAACTCCTTCAGGGTCCAAGGCCAAAATCTGAAGTGGTGCTCCAGTGTCCAAGAAATTTTGAAAAAAAAAAAAAAAAATTTTTTTTTCTTACAGAATTAAAGAGCATATTTTTGTGAAGGTAATAAGACAAAAAAAAAAATTCTGATCAGTACTTACCGAGATACAGTGCCAAGAAGTTTGTCAAAAATGATGTGGTGGCGGCAACATCGACGAATTCCACATACGCACATTACATTATTTTGCGGTTTTTTATTTTTTTTTCTTTTCTTTCCAATTTTGTTCTATTCCTACTAACATTTGGGGCCTGAGAGACCAATACTGTATATAATGTATATATATAAACTCACTGTATTGAACACAATAACCGCACTAAAGTTATCATATTATTGTTTACCACTGTTGTTTATTACAATAAACATGCACAAATCTTGTATAATACTAATGTTCTATCATATATTTACATATTTACAATCACTGGACATGGTTTTAGAACTGCTGGAGCTTGTGGAACTTCCTGAAACAAGGCACCATGCACAGAGGCACCTTACATTCCTCACACATAAACCGAGTGTCTTTGCTTCTTTGTTGCCGTCATTTTGTTTGTGCACAGACGATGCATCTCTTCTGAGCAAATTTCTTCTGAGTTGAAGGAAGTTATATTATGAAATGATCACCTTCCCTCCTCAAACGCTTGGGTATATCCTGAGGAATTCGAGGACCGTGTTGTATAGCAGGTGTTCTTACCTGGTACTTCATTATGAGTTGTCTGAACAACAGAGAAACAAAATTCACCATACGGTGGTCTGTTGCCAGTCTTTATTTGGTACATATTATATGCATTGAGCATTGAAATGTCCATGAGATGGAAGAAAAGTTTCATGTAGCACTTGTAACTCTTACGAACACAGTCAACAAAACCAATCTGCATGTCACATTTGTCAACCAAGCGCATGTTTTGTGTATAATCAATCACTGTCACTGGTTTTCGAATACGTTCATTAGTCACTCGATCAACTTTGCCACTGTCTTGCATTTCATTACGGTGAATGGTTGTCAACAATGTGACATCTCGTTTGTCATGCCACCGTAATGCCATGATGTCATTGGCAGTAAACACCTGCACGTCATCACCACGAGCACCTGCGTTGAGCCTGGGCATATGTTTACGATTAGAACGCACTGTGCCACACACATCTGTCCTTGTTCACATCGCATGAAATCACTGAGTAATGGGCTTGTGTACCAGTTATCGGTATATTATGTATCCCTCTTACCAAGATAAGGTGCCATCATGTTTCTCACTACGTCACCTGAGATACCCAATAACATCTTGGTATCTTTCAATGTTTTACTACCAGTGTATACAACAATATCCAACACCAGGCCACTGTCACAATCACAGAGTACAAACAGTTTTATACCAAAGCGTTTCCTCTTGCTCGTAATACTGCTTGAATGACAGTCTACCTTTGAACAAAATCAAAGACTCGTCAATTACAAGATTCTTGAATGGATAAAAGTATATGCTGAACTTTTGTTTGAGATACATGAAAACATTTCTAATCTTGTATAACCTGTCACTTCTGTCAGGCCTGGTTTTGTCAGAGAAGTGCAACATAACGTAAGAGTAAGATAAACCTGTTCACTGGTATGATTTCACTGAAGACCGGGGTAGAAATTAGCCAATCTGTGGACCAGTATGCTTTTATATTATGCTTATAGACATGAGGCATAAGCATTATTGTTGCAAAAAGCAAATACATTTCTGCAACAGTCGTCTCTTTCCACCTGTGTAGTCTTGACTGTGGTGATAAGATCGTATTTGCCATGGTGTACTCAAAATACTTATTACTTTCCCTGACAATAATTTCCATCAATGGCTGGTCAAAGAATAATTCAAAGAATTCCAGTTCATTGGCCGTGGTTCCAAGGGGACAAGATAGGTAGAAATCCACTTTGAGAGTCATCAAAGTGGGAGGCTTGGGAACAAAAATTGGGATTTTGCTGCCAACCCACATACGGTTTGCTGGTGGATACTGGACCATCTAGGCTGGTTGTGCGGGTGGTTGTGGTGGGCTGGTGGCTGACGCTCCGTTTTGTCCTTGAACTGACGAGTCAGCAGCGTGGGTCCCAGCATGGCCTGGTGAGTCACGCATGGCGGTGCCATTACCATCACCACTAACACCATCCACTGATGCCTGTGGTCTATCCATGCCAAGTGTAGCCACATCATCCTCACTATCACTACCTAAAACTGGTGAAGGGCCACGGGATGTACTCCGGATGTCTGATGTACTCGGATGTACTCCGTCCCTGGGCACGCATAGGGTACACTACCGAGCGCATGCGCGGCGAACATACCGACGCTTCACTGGTGAATATGATTCCTCACTATCACTACTCGAATGATCGTCGAGCGCAATAAAATCACAATCCATGTCACTATCATCATCATTACTGAAGTCAGAGGCCTGGCCACACGAAAATATTAGTTTTCTCTTGCGTTGAGGAACAACCGACCGTGATCACGAGTGCCCACACCAGAGGTAGAAGGTTGAGGATCGTCAGGGTTTTCTGCACTATTATCGATATCCTGGTCATTCTTTTCGGTCACTAACTGACCAAAGCCGTAGAATTCGTCTTCATTTCCACTTCCATCAGTGTCAGAACTATCAGATAGGAAGAGGAGAGTCCCAATTTTCCGGGGAGTGAGAGCTGACTTGCGACGAGGCATGGTGAACAAGGGTGACTGAGCCGGCGTTCCCACAATGCTATGCAGGCGCCTAGATTTTTTGTTCATGGCGCACACCCCACCGCGCAGGACCCATTCTCTTACATGTAGGCCTATGAGCGCTTTCGCGCTAAATTTGACGGCGCTAGAATTTTGGCGTAGATCTACGGTTTGGACACTCAACGTAAAGCCGTAGATCTACGGGACGGACCCTGAAAGGGTTAAACCAAACACATGGTCAGAGATTCACTCTTCCCATCATGCAAAGCATGAAGCAGGATTTTTTATATCATGCACACCCACTGAGCAGACCCATTCTCTCATATCTTCTCCTTCCTTCAACAAACCAGCAGTATCCCACCAAAGCAGGGTGGTCCAAAAAGAAAAACAAAAGTTTCTCTTTTCCACTTTAGTAATGTATATAGGAGAAAGGGTTACTAGCCCCTTGCTCCCAGCGTGTTACTCACCTCTTACGACACCACAGTTTACGGAGAAAGAATTGTTCCACTCCCCCATGGAGATAAGAGGAAATAAAGAAGAACTAGCAAGAAAATAGAAAAAAAAAAAAAACAGAGGGGTTTGTGTATTTATAAGCTTGTGTATTTATATATGTGTATTTATATGTGTAATGTGACCTAAGTGTAAGTAGAAATAGCAAGACGTACCTGAAATCTTCCATGTTCATGAAAGAGAAAAAACACACCACAATCCTACCATCATGAAAAACAATTACAGGCTTTCCGTTTTAAACGCTTTCTTAGCAGGACAGTAGTACCTCCCTGGGCAGTTGCTGTCTACCACCCCATTACCTATAATTCTCTCATATCTTTCTTTCAACACACCGGCCGTATTCCACCAAGGCGGGGTGGCTCAAAAGGAAAAACTAAAGTTTCTCCTTTTACATTTAGTAATATATACAGGAGAAGGGGTTACCAGCCCCCTTGCTCCTGGCATTTTAGTCGCCTCTTACAACACGCATGGCTTACGGAGGAAGAATTCTGTTCCATTTCCCCATGGAGGTAAGAGGAAATAAACAAGAACTAGAAAGAAAATAGAAAAAAAAACCAGAGGGGTGTGTATATATATGCTTGTACATGTATGTGTAGTGTGACCTAGGTGTAAGTAGAAGTAGCAAGATGTACCTGAAATCTTGCATGTGTATAAAACAGAAAAAAAAAGACACCAGCAATCCTAACATCGTGTAAAACAATTACAGACTTCCGTTTTACACTCGCTTGGCAGGACGGTAGTACCTCCCTGGGCGGTTGCTGTCTACCGACCCATTACCTATAATTCTCTCATATACGTATAGGCAAAAATTTACCGCTGACAGTTTATCTGAGCAAGTTGAGCTCATGATGCAGAACTACATGAGAGACCCAGACCTCAATGACATAGTTCTATGTGATAACCTCTGAAAGGCTTATATTTCCAAGTAATCTATATCTAGTAAAAAGCAATAAATGACCAAGTAATTTAAAATTTCTACAAAATGTTTCACTATAAATGTAGTTTCCTCATAAAATTTAAGCTGTCTTGATAATCAGTCAGAAAGAGAGTAAAAATATTTCCAACTGAACACCTCATATTTCACCTTATAACACTTACCCCATAAAATTTCCAGGAGTAATAATCTTACGGTTGCAAGTTCCTCTAAACATTTTACTTATCAATTCAAATTGTGGTCCACTCATCTCTTTTTCTAATCGGCCCTCATACTTCTCCTGAAGTTCCTCTCTGAAAAAAAAAAAAAGTTTCTGAAAACAAAAGCCAATGAGGATGAACATTCTGCTCTCATATAATGTAAGTCCTTATTACAAATTCCTTCCTGAAAATGTTATTTATACTACCAAAAATTTATTGAACACTGACTGTGGCACAGAGTTATAGTCTCTGCACAAAAAGTAATCTGTCCCTAGTTTTAAAACACATTTTTATAATGAATACCAAATTTCCACAAATTCTTTTACATATAGTACAGTGGACCCCCGGTTAACGATATTTTTTCACTCCAGAAGTATGTTCAGATGCCAGTACTGACCGAATTTGTTTCCATAAGAAATATTGTGAAGTAGATTAGTCCATTTCAGACCCCCAAACATACATGTACAAACGCACTTACATAAATACACTTACATAATTAGTCACATTCGGAGCTAATCGTTATGCGGGGGTCCACTGTATATCATAAATGCCTAAATTTTATAAATACCTGTCTCCAAGGTGAGGAAGAGAAAACAGACCCCCAATATCATAAGCAGATCATGATATTGGGGTGTACAATTTTAGCTTCTTTATTTAATAAGGTACTGACCTTGTTTTTTTTTTTACAATCATTTGGGCTTCCTTTGTTATTTCACAGACATGAGTGATGGACATTTCAGTGTGATATTAAGCGTGTCAGATTACTGGAGCAGAAAGTAAAATTCCCATACTATTAACCCGTAAACGGTCCAAACGTATATACGTATACGTTTTTTCAACATTTGAAAGTATGTAAAAAAAAGTAGATCTTCTTTTTGTTTTTCTACATTTGAAAATGTGTAAATAAACTTTGATCTACTTTTTTTTTTTGTTATATCTGAAAATATGTAAAAAAACTTAGATCTACTTTTGTAGCACTACACATGTGAACGTAGATCTGCTTGGACCGTTTACGGGTTAATAGATACGAAAATTACTGGATCAAGGTATGAAGTCTGAAGGGGTCTGGAAAGTCAATAGTTGCTCTTTTTCAAGTAAAACTGGTTAGCCTATAAAATTCATATTATACAGTTTTTTCTAAGCATCCCTGTGTTATAGAGAGCTAAGTTTAAGTATAAATAAATGATATAAAAATCAGTTTTAATATTGAAATTAAATACATGAATAATTATCTAAAATGCATTAAACAGTCAGAACAAGCACTAAGATATACAGTGTACAGATGGAACTTTCAATATTCTGAATAAATGAAGAACCATATACAGTGGAACCTCAACATTCATATGTCGTCATATTCATACAACTTGATATTTCCCCAATTTTTTCGACAAAGTTTTGACTCGGTATTTGGACATTGCCCTGATATTCATCCTAAACAAAACGGTCTATCTGGACGAAGTCCAATGAAAACAAATCACACGCTCAGTCGTTGAAAATAAATACAGTGGACCCCCGGATTAAGACGTCATAGGAATAAGTAACATTTTTGCTTCAAAATATTGGCTCTGTGAACGTCACTGAACTCAGTGTAAGTCATTCATGTTGGGGCTACTCACGCCCCGACATTCCATGTACAGCCAGTGTCATTTTTACCACCTAGTGAGGATGATCCCACGCATTCATACGATACATTTTGTAGTATTCCATTCTTTTTAGTGCTTGTAACTGTTAAATAAGCCACCATGGGCCCAAAGAAAGCTTTTAGTGCCAGCCAGCCCTTTGGTAAAGGGCTGAGAGGGGATAATGTGCCTTTTTCAGTGATTAAGCAATATGTACGATAATAAAGGAGCAGGAGTCTATAAAGGCTATAGCGCCAGCCAGCAATGAAGCGTAGCATTAACAGTGTAGCAAGTAAGTTAAGCAATTAATCGAATGAAAAAAGACAGCACAAAAATGACTCCTCCATTGTTGTTGGAGGTATATAGGGCTACTAACACCACAGCCTGTGCTGCGCCTTCATCACCACTATGTAAGGCTTATCTTTCAGTGGCCCTTATACACCCAACAACAAACAACACATCACCACTCGTGACATTCTTAATGCCATATTTTATTCATTCTAGAATATATGATGGTGAAAGTTTTTCTTTTTCGGGCCACCCTGCCTTGGTGGGAATCGGCCAGTGTTAATAAAAAAAAAAATAATAATATATATCATATCATGTTTCTGTGTTATTAATATTGTTTATGTTATATTAGATGAATTGTGCTAGATAAACAAGCAATTTTAGGTAGTAGGTTGGTAGACAGCAACTGCCCAGGGAGGTACTACCATCCTGCCAAGTGAGTGTAAAAAGAAAGCCTGTAATTGTTCTACATGATGGTAGGTTTGCTGGTGTCTTTTTTCTGTCTCATAAACATGCAAGATTTCAGGTACGTCTTGCTACTACTTCTTACACTTAGGTCACACTACACATACAATGCACAAGCATATATATATATATATACACACCCCTCTGGGCTTTCTTCTCTTTTCTTTCTAGTTCTTGTTCTTGTTTATTTCCTCTTATCTCCATGGGGAAGTGGAACAGAATTCTTCCTCCGTAAACCATGCATGTTGTAAGAGGCGACTAAAATGCAGGGAGCAAGGGGCTAGTAACCCCTTCTCCTGCATATACGCATTACTAAATGTAAAAGGAGAAACTTTCGTTTTTCCTTTTGGGCCACCCCGCCTCAGTGGGATACAGCTGGTGTGTTGAAAGAAAGAAATAAGCCGTAAAACTGATATTAGTGTCATATTAAAGGACTATCTTGTCCTGTCTCCCAACACAATTCCTAACATACGCCAAAAACAGACAACTCTGGAACACTTTTTTGAGCAACAGGGGTCCAGTGACTCTCAAGCTGGTCCTAGTGGCATTAAAAAATAAAGGAAGGAAGTAACCCAGGATAAGGACTTGGTACCTGAAGTCTTTATAGAAGGGGATTCCCCTTCCAAACAATTGTAAACTCCATCCTCTCCCCTCCTCCATACATCACCATGTCTTCAATAAAGGTAAGTGTGATGTCATTATTGTTTTATCCTTCATGTATCATTGTTTTCTGTGTAGGTAAATGCATATTTAATGTAGGAAACCTTACTTTTAATACTTTTGGGTGTCTGAAACGGATTAATTGGATTTCCATTATTTCTTATGGAGAAAATTAATTCAGAATAAGTCACTTTCTCTCTCTGGAATAGATTAATTACGTAATCCGGGGGTCTGCTGTAATCATGGCCCCCCCAAAAAAAAAAATAGTGATCCAAACAAGCCTAAAAGGAGAGAAGTAAGAACAACAATTAAAGTGAAAAAAGAACTCATTGCAAAGTGGGAAAGTGGAATATGTATATTGGACCTGGCCACTCAATATGGTATGGTGAAATCCACCATATCGTCCATATTGAAAAATAGAGGCAATAAAAGGGACTGATGTGGCATAAGGAGTGAAAATTCTTGCTGCGAAAAGGTCACAAGAAACTGAAGAACTGTTAAAACTTCGGTTAGTGTAGATTAACAAAAAGCAATTAGCCAGTGACAAGTGTTTCTAAAACAATAATTTGTGAAAAAGCAATGGAGTTATAGAGTGATTTTAGGCAAGACACCCCAGTAGGTTGGTAGACAGCAACCACCCAGGGAGGTACTACCGTCCTGCCAAGTGAGTGTAAAACGAAAGCCTGTAATTGTTTTACATGATGGTAGGATTGCTGGTGTCCATTTTCTGTCTCGTAAACATGTAAGATTTCAGGTACGTCTTGCTACTTCTACTTACACTTAGGTCACACTACACATACATGTACATGTTTATTTTTACACACTCATCTGAGTTTTCTTTGATTTTTTCTTAATAGTTCTTGGTCTTATTACTTTTCCTTTTATATCCATGGGGAAGTGGAATAAGAATCTTTCCTCCGTAAGCCATGCGTGTTGTAAAAGTCAACTAAAATGCCGGGAACAATGGGCTAGTAACCCCTTTTCCTGTAATAATTACTAAAAAGAATAAGAAGCAGAAAATTGTCAAAGTGGGAAATCTGAATGTGCGTGGATGTTGTGCAAATGATAAGATGATGGTTGTGGATGTTATGAATGAGAAGAAGCTGGATGTCCTCACTTTAAGTAAAACAAAGCTGAAGGGGGTGGGAGAGTTTCAGTGGAGAGGAATAAATGAGATTAGGTCAGGGATTTCAAATAGAGTTAGAGCTAAAGAAGGAGTAGCAATAACGTTGAAGGATAAGTTATGGCAGGAAAAGAGGGACTATAAATGTATTAATTCAAGGATTATGTGGAGTAAAATAAAGGTTGGATGTGAAAAGTGGGTTATAGTAAGCGTATATGCACCTGGAGAAGTGTAGAGGAGAGAGAGAGATTTTGGGAAATGTCGAGTGAATGCGTGGGGAGTTTTGAACCAAGTGTGAGAGTAATGGTGGTTGGGGATTTCAATGCTAAAGTGGGTAAAAATGTTGTGGAGGGAGTAGTAGGTAAATTTGGGGTGCCAGGGGTATATGAAAATGGGGAGCCTTTAATTGAACTATGTGTAGAAAGAGGTTTGGTAATAAGTAATACATATTTTATGAAGAAGAGGATAAATAAATATACAAGGTATGATATAGTATGTAATGAAAGTAGTTTGTTAGATTATGCATTGTTGGATAAAAGGTAGATGGGTAGGCTCCAAGATGTACACGTTTACAGAGGGGCAACTGATATATCGGATCATTATTTAGTTTTAGCTACAGTTGGAGTAAGAGGTAGATGGGAAAAGAGGAAAACAACAGCAACAAACAAGAGGGAGATGAAAGTGTATAAACTAGGGGAGGAGGAAGTTCGGGTGAGATATAAGCAACTATTGGCAGAAAGGTGGGCTGGTGCAAGTATGAGTAGTGGGGGGCTGAAGAGGGTTGGAATAGTTTTAAAAATGCAGTATTAGAACGTTGGGCAGAAGTTTGTGGTTATAGGAGGGTGGGTGAAGGAGGAAAGAGGAGTGATTGGTGGAATGATGAAGTAAAGGGTGTGACAAAAGAGAAGTTAGCTTATGAGAGGTTTTTACAAAGCAGAAGTGTTATAAGAAGAGTAGAGTATATGGAGAGTAAAAGAAAGGTGAAGAGAGTGGTGAGAGAGTGCAAAAGGAGAGTAGATGATAAAGTGGGAGAGGCACTGTCAAGAAATTTTAATAAAAATAAGAAAAAATTTTTGGAGTTAAACAAGTTAAGAAAGCCTAGAGAACGAATGGATTTGTCAGTTAAAAACAGAGTAGGTGAGTTAGAAGATAGGGAGATGGAGGTTTTGGGTAGGTGGTGAGAATATTTTGAGGAACTTTGAAGTGTTGAGGAAGAAAGGGAGGCGGTAATTTCATGCACTGGCCAGGGAGGTATACCATCTTTTAGGAGTGAAGAAGAACAGGATGTGAGTGGTGTGGGGGAGGTGCGTGAGGCATTACGTAGAATGAAAGGGGGTAAAGCAGCTGGAACTGACGGGATCATGACAGAAATGTTAGAAGCAGTGGGGGATATAGTGTTGGAGTGGTTGGTATTTTTGTTTAATAAATGTATGAAAGAGAGGAAGGTACCTAGGGATTGGCAGAGAGCGTGTGTAGTCCCTTTATATAAAGGGAAGTGGGACAAAAGATATTGTAAAAATTATAGAGGAATAAGTTTACCGAGTATATCAGGAAAAGTGTACGGTAGGGTTATAAATGAAAGAATTAGAGGTAAGACATAATGTAGGATTGCGTATGAGCAAGGAGGTTTCAGAGTGACCGGATGTGTAGATCAAGTGTTTACATTGAAGCATATATGTGAACAGTATTTAGATAAAGGTAGGGAAGTTTTTATTGCATTTATGGATTTAGAAAAGGCATATGATAGAGTGGATAGGGGAGCAATGTGGCACATGTTTCAAGTATATGGAATAGGTGGTAAGTCACTAATTGCTGTAAAGAGTTTTTATGAGGATAGTGAGGCTCAGGTTAGGGTGTGTAGAAGAGAGGGAGACTACTTCCCAGTAAAAGTAGGTCTTAGACAGGGATGTGTAATGCCACCATGGTTGTTTAATATATTTATATTATTATTATAATCAAAAAGAAGCGCTAAGCCACAAGGGCTATACAGCGCTGCAATATATTTATAGATGGGGTTGTAAAAGAAGTAAATGCTAGGGGTGTTCAGGAGAGGGGTGGGATTAAATCATGGAGAATCAAATACAAAATGGGAATTGACACAGTTGCTTTTTGCTGATGATACTGTGCTTATGGGAGATTCTAAAGAAAAATTGCAAAGGTTAGTGGATGAGTTTGGGAGTGTGTGTAAAGGTAGAAAGTTGAAAGTGAACATAGAAAAGAGTAAGCTGATGAGGGTATCAAATGATTTAGATAAAGAAAAATTGGATATCATATTGGGGAGGAGTATGGAAGAAGTGAATGTTTTCAGATACTTGGGAGTTGACGTGTCAGCGGATGGATTTATGAAGGATGAGGTTAATCATAGAATTGATGAGGGAAAAAAGGTGAGCGGTGCGTTGAGGTATATGTGGAGACAAAAAACGTTATCTATGGAGGCAAAGAAGGGAATGTATGAGTGTAGTAGTACCAACACTCTTATATGGGTGTGAAGCTTGGGTTCTGAATGCAGCAGCGAGGAGGCAGTTGGAGGCAGTGGTGATGTCCTGTCTAAGGGCAATGTGTGGTGTAAATATTATGCAGAAAATTTGGAGTGTGGAAATTAGGAGAAGGTGTGGAGTTAATAAAAGTATTAGTCAGAGGGCCGAAGAGGGGTTGTTGAGGTGGTTTGGTCATTTAGAGAGAATGGATCAAAGTAGAATGACATGGAGAGCATATAAATCTGTAGGAGAAGAAAGGCGGGGTAGGGGTCGTCCTCGAAAAGGTTGGAAGGAAGGGGTAAGAGAGGTTTTGTGAGCGAGGGGCTTGGACTTCCAGCAGGCATGCATGAGCGTGTTCGATAGGAGTGAATGGAGACGAATGGTATTTGGGACCTGACAATCTGTTGGAGTGTGAGCAGGGTAATATTTAGTGAAGGGATTCAGGGAAACTGGTTATTTTTATGTAGCCGGACTTAAGTCCTGGAAATGGGAAGTACAATCCCTGCACTCTAAAGGAGGGGTTCGGGATATTAGCAGTTTGGAGGGATATATTGTGTATCTTTATACATATATGCTTCTAAGCTGTTGTGTTCTGAGCACCTCTGCAAAAACAGTGATTATGTGTGAGTGAGGTTAAAGTGTTGAATAATGATGAAAGTATTTTCTTTTTGGGGATTTTCTTTCTTTTTGGGTCACCCTGCCTTGGTGGGAGACGGCCAACTTGTTGAGAAAAAAAAAACAGGAAAGTGCTGAAAGTGATGAATTTAAGGCAAGAAGGGGCTGGTTTGATAAGTTTAAAAAGAGGAGTGGAATTCATATTGTAGTAAGGCAAGGGGAGGCTGCCAGTGCTAACAGAGATGAGGCTGAAAAGTTTGTTAAGGAATTTAAAACCTAGATAGACATTGAGGGATTTATTCCTCAACAAGATTTTAATTGTGATGAAACTGGCCTCTTCTGGAAAAGAATGCCTAAGAGAACCTACATCACACAAGAAGAAAAATCATTACTAACACTCTTGTTGTGTGGTAATGTTAAGGACTGCAAAATTAAACTGTTGCTAGTCTACCACTCTGAAAATCCAAGGGCATTTAAGAAAAACAATGTGATAAAAAGTAACTTGGTGCAATGTGGAATGCTAATAGTAAAGCTAGAGTAACAAGGCAGTTCTTCACTGAGTGGATACATGAAACGCTTGCCCTAAGTGAGAAGCAGTACCTTGCAGAGAAAAACTTACCAATAAAGGCACTTCAGGTAATGGACAATGCTCCTGCTCACCCTCCAGGCTTGGAGGAAAATTTGGTGGATGAATACAGCTTCATTAATGTGAAGTTCTTGCCCCCTAACACCACTCCTCTTATCCAACCCATGGACCAGCAGGTAATTTCCAATTATAAGAAACTTTACACAAAAGTAGTTTAAAATGAGCTTTGAAATGACCTCTGAAACTGAGTTTATCCTTAGAGAATTTTGGAAAACCATTTGAATCTTTCTTTCTTTCTTTCAACACACCGGCCGTATCCCACCGAGGCGGGGTGGCCCAAAAGGAAAAACGAAAGTTTCTCCTTTTACATTTAGTAATATATACAGGAGAAGAGGTTACTAGCCCCTTGCTCCCGGCATTTTAGTCGCCTCTTACAACACGCATGGCTTACGGAGGAAGAATTCTGTTCCACTTCCCCATGGAGATAAGAGGAAATAAACAAGAATAAGAACTAGAAAGAAAATAGAAGAAAACCCAGAGGGGTGTGTATATATGTGCATTGTACATGTATGTGTAGTGGGACCTAAGTGTAAGTAGAAGTAGCAAGACGTACCTGAAAACTTGCATGTTCATGAGACAGAAAAAAGGACACCAGCAATCCTACCATCATGTAAAACAATTACAGGCTTTCGTTTTTACACTCACTTGGACCAGGACGGTAGTACCTTCCCTGGGCGGTTGCTGTCTACCAACCTACTACCTAGGACCATTTGAATATCCTCCAGTATTTAAGGATAACCTAGGTAGTAGGTTGGTAGACAGCAACCGCCCAGGGAGGTACTACCGTCCTGCCAAGTGAGTGTAAAACGAAAGCCTGTAACTGTTTTACATGATGGTAGGTTTGCTGGTGTCCTTTTTTCTGTCTCATTAACATGCAAGATTTCAGGTACGTCTTGCTACTTCTACTTACACTTAGGTCACACTACACATACATGTACAAGCATATACATATATACACACACACCCCTCTGGGTTTTCTTCTATTTTTTTTTTGTAGTTCTTATTCTTGTTTATTTCCTCGTATCTCCATGGAGAAGTGGAACAGAATTTTCCCTCCGTAAGCCATGCGTGTTGTAAGAGGCGACTAAAATGGCAGGAGCAAGGGGCTAGTAACCCCTTCTCCTGTATAAATTACTAAATTTGAAAAGAGAAGCTTTTGTTTTTCTTTTTGGGCCACCCTGCCTCGATGGGATACAGCGGTTTGTTGAAAAAAATAAATTTAAGGATAATAGACAGAGCAGGGAAAAGTTTCTTTCAGGACAATAAACTCTGCCTTGAAGAAATTGTGGGCAAACTGTGTCAGTCAGAGATTTTGAAGGTGCTTTGAGGCAGAGCCTGTAGTGAAGGATACTGTCTGTCTGGGCCAGTCCATGGGCTTGGAGATGGATGATCAGGATGTAAAGGAGTTGGTGGAGGATCATAAGAATGAGCTCACCACAGAAGAACTTCAAGCCCTGTACAAGAAGCAGCAAGAAGTGGCTGAGAAAATTCTTCTTCAAAGAAGGGAAGCAGTAAGGTTAATATTTCAGCTGCAGAAATTAAGGAACTGTCTTACCATTTGGCTCAAACACAGAGCCTGGTGGAAAAATGGCATCCTAACATTAGTTGTGAATAGGAGCATCAACCTGTTCAATGACAAAGTTGTCAAAAGCAGACAACATTGGACAGCTTCTTTAGCAAAGAAAAAAAATCAAATGTCAGTGAATCCCCATCATCTTCAAGTGCTACTGCACAGAGACAGCATCAAACAGGCAGTTACTTGATGTTTTTATGAAGGTGACACCTTTCCAAATAACATTTTTCCACCTGCCCCTAAAGCCATCAGAACTCCTCAGTAAAGTGCAATTAAATTTTCATTTCATATATTTATTGTTTTTATAGTTTTCATGTATGCAATTATCATACAGATTTAAATAAGCAATATTTTCATTTAAAATGTTTAATAATTGGTAATTTTGGGGTGTCTGGAAAGGATTAATCCAATTTACATTATTTCTTATAGGAAAAATTGATTCAATATTGGCATAACTCACCATTCAAACAGCCTCCTGGAACAGATTAAGTTCAAATATCAAGGTACCACTTTACATTATTTGTATACTATTGTACAACTATTAGAAGAAAGAAAACATGGCCTGTTTCTTACTCTGTGAGTGGAAGCTCAAGGGTGTCTGAATCATCTCCAGAGAACAGCAAAATCAGGTACGGGTAGCGAGTTTGACCTTGTTTGATAGGTGGATCCAGGGACACCTAGCATACAATGTAAAAAAATATTTACTTAAAAACATTTCAGGCAAACAAGCCAACTTGCAGACATAAAATTAAAATTACACAATTTTTAATTAAATTGTAGTATACATATGCAAAATATTCAAAATAACAATAGTGAAAAATAGTCCAAAGGCCCACTAAACACTTTTGTTCAACCCAGTGAACTTTAGAGAAATACAGTGGACCCCCGGTTAACGATATTTTTTCACTCCAGAAGTATGTTCAGGTGCCAGTACTGACCGAATTTGTTCCCATAAGAAATATTGTGAAGTAGATTAGTCCATTTCAGACCCCCAAACATACACGTACAAACGCACTTACATAAATACACTTACATAATTGGTCACATTCGGAGGTAATCGTTATGCGGGGGTCCACTGTACAGTGGTACCTCGGGATACGAACAGCTCAAAACGTGAACAATTATGTAAGTGTACGTATTTATGTAAGTGCTTTTGTAAGTGTATTTTTGGGGGTCTGAAACGGATTAATCTAATTTACATTATTCCTTATGGGAACAAGTTCGTTCGGTATCAGCACTCGAACAGCCTTCTGGAACGAAATAAGTTCATATCCCGAGGTACCACTGTACCAAGATTGGTTCAATCAAACTTTTAACAAAACTGTAAAAAACACTGGGTCCTACAGTGGTATGAAACAATAGGATATACAGTGGTAAGAAACATTGGGTCTTAAACTGGTAAGAAACATTAGGGTGTACAGTGGTAGGAAACATTACAATGTACAGTGGTAAAAAAAAATTACAATGTACAGTGGTAAAAAAATTATGATGTACAGTGGTAAAAAAATTATGATGTACAGTGGTAAAAAATTATGATGTACAGTGGTAAAAAATTATGATGTACAGTGGTAAAAAATCTTAGGATGTACATTGGTAAGAAACAATGGGATCTACAATGGTAAGAAACACTGGGATCAACAGTGGTAAGAAACTTTGGTATCTACAGTGGTAAGAAACAATGGGATCTACTGTGGTAAGAAACAATGGGATCTACTGTGGTAAGAAACAATGGGATCTACTGTGGTAAGAAACAATGGGATCTACTCTGGTAAGAAACAATGGGATCTATTGTGGTAAGAAACAATGGGATCTATTGTGGTAAGAAACAATGGGATCTACTGTGGTAAGAAACAATGGGATCTACTGTGGTAAGAAACAATGGGATCTACTGTGGTAAGAAACACTTGGATCTACAGTGGTAAGAAACAATGGGATCTACTGTGGTAAGAAACACTTGGATCTACAGTGGTAAGAAACAATGGGATCTACTGTGGTAAGAAACAATGGGATCTACTGTGGTAAGAAACAATGGGATCTACTGTGGTAAGAAACAATGGGATCTACTGTGGTAAGAAACAATGGGATCTACTGTGGTAAGAAACAATGGGATCTACTGTGGTAAAAACAATGGGATCTACTGTGGTAAGAAACAATGGGATCTACTGTGGTAAGAAACACTGGGATCTACAGTGGTAAGAAACAATGGGATCTACAGTGGTAAGAAACAATGGGATCTACTGTGGTAAGAAACAATGGGATCTACTGTGGTAAGAAACAATGGGATCTACTGTGGTAAGAAACAATGGGATCTACTGTGGTAAGAAACAATGGATCTACTGTGGTAAGAAACACCTGGGATCTACAGTGGTAAGAAACAATGGGATCTACAGTGGTAAGAAACAATGGGATCTACTGTGGTAAGAAACAATGGGATCTACTGTGGTAAGAAACAATGGGATCTACTGTGGTAAGAAACACTGGGATCTACAGTGGTAAGAAACAATGGGATCTACAGTGGTAAGAAACAATGGGATCTACTGTGGTAAGAAACAATGGGATCTACTGTGGTAAGAAACACTTGGATCTACAGTGGTAAGAAACATTGATGCAAGGTGCTAATTTGCTTACAACTATCATTGTAATGTATACATTCTTCGTAAAATAATGTATAAAAGAACATTCTCTAAAGATATATCTCTCACAAACCTTTATAGCGCACAGTGCATGTACATCACAATTCCGAATTGGCAGCAACAGCTTGACTCACCACAAAGAAGTGCTGACGCTGGTCAAGATGAGGCAGCAGGAAGAGACGCAAAACTGTTGTTACTGGGATCTTGAAATCAAATGTTTTACCATGAAGCTGGATGAAGCTAGGGTATACTTTGATGTCATACCGACCACTGTAAGAATTTCATTAAAATTACAAATCTATGCCTGGTCTTTTTTCAAATTACAGTAAACCTACCATATAAAGGACTATTCAGGGAAAGTGGGTGTCTGATAATGGCAACTGTGGTAAATGGAAAAGACACATTTTGCTGTGATTGTAACAACAGTGGACAATTCTGTAACTAACAAACTTTGTCTTGACTGGCCCAGCAGATTCTGTCCAGTGTTTCCCATGTCCATAAAAATCAAGGTCCACCGAATAATGACCTCTTCACAAATGACAGACATCAATTTCCTTCAGAGTCACTGTAATTTTCACATAAATCTCTAATGTCAATTCTCATTATGCTCAATAACTACATATCAGTTTAAAAAAGCTAAATTTTTTATAATAATTTTGTCAAATTAATTTAGTTTACCATTTCATAATTAACAGTACGTGGAAAAAAAATTGTAACTAGGTAATTTTTATTTTTGCATCAACCATCTCTCACCACTGCAGGGTTACCACAAAAAAATCACTATTATTCATTCACAATGGTCTTGCCAGAAGTGTATATACATCACAAATTAAATGATTCCTCCAAACTAACATCCCCACCCTGCCTTAAGAGTTCAAACATTGTGTTTCATACCTCCAGGACTTTAGTTTAGCAGTTTTCCAGAATCCCTTCATTAATTTTGTCTTGAACATACTCCAACAGGTCAAATCCCTTAAAGCACTTGTTTCTACTCACAACCCCCCCCCTCTTAATATGCTCGCTCACTCACTTGCTTGCTCGCACGCACGCACACACACACACACACACACACACACACATACACACACACACACACACACACACACGCGCCCCACGCAAGCACACACGCACGCACGCACGCACGCGCACACACACACACAAAAACACACAACACACACACACACACACACACAAAAATGCACGCACGCACAACGCAAAGGTTTGCGACAAGGTTAGTTCCAGAGCTAAGGGGAAAGTCTTATGAAGAAAGGTTAAGGGAAATCAGCATGACAACACTAGAGGACAGGAGGGTCAGGGAAGACAAGATAACGACATATAAAATACTGCGCGGAATAGACAAGGTGGACAAAGACAGGATGTTCCAGGGAGGGACACAGAAACAAGAGGTCACAATTGGAAGTTGAAGACACAGATGAGTCAGAGAGATATTAGGAAGTATTTCTTCAGTCATAGAGTTGTCAGGCAGTGGAATAGCCTAGAAAGTGATGTAGTGGAGGCAGGAACCATACATAGTTTTAAGACGAGGTATGATAAAGCTCATGGAACGGGGAGAGAGAGGACCCAGTAGCAACTGGTGAAGAGGCGGGGCCAGGAGCTAAGACTCGGCCCCTGCAACCACAAATAGGTGAGTACAAATAGGCGAGTACACACATGCACATGCACACACACACACACAACACACACACACACACACACACACACAAAACACACACACACACACACACACACACACACACACACACACACTGGAGGGACAAGAGGGTCAGGGGAGACATGATAACGACACAAAATACTGCGTGGAATAGACAAGGTGGACAGAGACAGGATGTTCCAGAGATGGGACACAAAAACAAGGGGTCACAACTGGAAGCTGAAGACTCAGACGAGTCAAAGGAATGTTAGGAAGTATTTCTTCAGCCACAGAGTTGTTAGGAATTGGAATAGTCTGGCAAGCGATGTAGTGGAGGCAGGAACTATACATAGTTTTAAGGTGAGATATGATGAAGCTCATGGAGCAGAGAGATGGAGGACCCAGTAGCGGTCAGTGAAGAGGCAGGGCCAGGAGCCGAGTCTCGACCCCTGCAACCACAATTAGGTGAGCACACGCACACATGCAAGCACGCACGCATACACACACACACATGCACACACGCACACACACATGCACACACATGCACGCACACACGCACGTGCACACGCATGCGCACACATGCACACACACACACACATGCACACACAAACACGCACGCACGCACATGTGCACATGCACACACGCAAACACGCACACACAGGAGAGGGTTTCGGGGGTCAATGCCTCTGTGGCTCGGTCTGAGACCAGGCCTCGTGGTGGATCAGGGTCTGATCAGCCAGGCTGTTACTGCTGGCCGCACACAAACTGACAAATGAACCACAGTCTGGTTGGTCAGGTACTGACTTTAGGTGCCTGTCCAGTGCCTTCTTGAAGACAGCCAGGGGTCTATTGGTAATCCCCCTTATGTATGCTGGGAGGCAATTGAACAGTCTTGAGCCCTGGACACTTACTGTGCTGTCTCTCAGTGTACTCGTGGCACCCCTGCTTTTCATTGGGGAAATGTTACATCTCCTGTCGAGTCTTTTGCTTTCATAGGGAGTGATTTTCTCTTGCAGGTTTGGTACCACTCCCTCCAGGACCTTCCAAGTGCATATTATCATGTATCTCTCTCACCTGCATTCCAGAGAATACAGATCAAGGGCCTTCAACTGTTCCCAGTAATTTAGGTGCCTTATTGTACTTATGTGTGCCATGAACGTTCTTTGCACACTCTCCAGGTCAGCAATTTCCCCTGCCTTGAAGGGGGCAGTTAGCATACAGCAGTATTCCAGCCTAGAGAGAACCAGCAATTTGAAGAGAATCATCATGGGCTTGGCGTCCCTAGTTTTGACAGGTCTCATTATCCATCCTATCATTTTCCTAGCAGATGTGGTAGATACACTGTTGTGGTTCTTGAGGGCAAGATCCTGACATTATCACTCCCAGGTCCTTCACGTTACTCTTTCACTCTATTGCATGTTTAGAATTTGTCATATACCTTTATACAGTTTTAATTTTCTCAAGTTTTCCATATCTGAGTAGATGAAATTTCTCTTCACTGAACTTTATATTGTTTTGAGAGGTCCAATTAAGACTTGGTTCATGTCCCTTGGAGTCTTGTGGTGTCTTTGATGGCAATCCGGGGGTCATCCACAAATGAAGACACAGAGCTAAAGGCTTACATCTCTGTCTTTTGTCAGATATAAGGATGAGGAAAAAAATGGGAGCAAGTATGTGCCTTGTGGAACAGCTTTTCACCATAGCTGCCTCAAAACTTCACTCGTTTAAATATTACCAAAGGTGTTCTGTTTGTCAGGAATTTTTAGATCCATCTACCAACTTTTCTTGTTATAAATTTATCATACATTTTGTGCGCTATTACACCATGGTCACACTTGTCGAAATTTTTTTCAAGTCTGTGTATACTACATCTGATTTTGTTTACCTCTACAGCAAACCAGGACCTTGACATAGTGATCCAGTGCTGGACAGGAGTGACCTACCTGAACCTGTGTTGCCCTGGTTGTGTAACTGATGGGTATCTAGGTGTTCGCAATTGCGCTTCTTTGAACCCTTTTAAAGATTTTATGATTTTTTTTCACAAGTCGCCGCTCCCCCCCAAGGCAGGGTGACCCAAAAAGAAAGAAAAACCCCCAAAAAAAAAATACTTTCATCTCATTCAACACTTTTTCCCACTCAACAAAAACACTGTTTTTGCAGAGCACAAAAGTTTGGGAAACATATACTATAAAGATAAAAAAACATTCCCTCCAAACGCAAAAATCCCAAACCCCTCCTTTAGATGCAGGCATTTTACTTCCCATTTCCAGGGCTCAATCCGGCTAATAAAAAAAAACTGTTTCCCCCAATCCCCCACTAAATTTTACCCTGCTCACACTCCCCAAAAATTTCAGGTCCCAAATACCTTTTGTCTCCATTCACTCCTATCTAACACGCTCTGCACTCCTGCTGGAAGTCCAAGCCCCTCGCTCACAAAACCTCCCTTACCCCTTCCTTCCAACCTTTTGGGACGACCCCTACCCTGCTTCCTTCTCCTACGATTTAAATGCTCTCCATGTCATTCTACTTTGTATCATTCTCTCTAAATGACCAAACCACCTCAACAACCCCTCTTCAAGCCCGTCTGACTAAACTTTTATTAACTCCACACCTTCTTCTAATTTCCACACTCCAAATTTTTCTGCATAATATTTACACCACACATTGCCCTTAGACAGGAATCACCACTGCCTCACCGCCTCTTCGCTGCTGCATTCGCACCCAAGCTTCACACTCATATAAGAGTGCTAGTACTACTATACTTCATACATTCCCTTCTTGCCTCCAAGATAACGTTTTTTGACTCCACAATACCTCAACGCACCACTCACCTTTTTACTTCATCAATTCTATGATTAACCTCATCCTTCATAAATCCATCCGCCAACACGTCAACTCCCAAGTATCTGAAAACATTCACTTCTTCCATACTCCTCCTCCCCAATTTGATATCCAATTTTTCTTTATCTAAATCATTTGATACCCTCATCAGCTTACTCTTTTCTATGTTCACTTTAAACTTTCTACCTTTACACACACTCCCAAACTCATCCACTACCTTGCAATTTTTCTTTAGATCTCCCATAAGCACAGTATCATCAGCAAAAAGAACTGTGTCAATTCCCATTTGTATTTGATTCCCCATAATTTAATCCTACCCCTCTCCCGAACACCCAGCATTTACTTCTTTTACAACCCCATCTATAAATATATTAAACAACCATGGTGGCATTACACATCCCTGTCTAAGACCTACTTTTACTGGGAATAGTCTCCTCTCTTCTACACACCCTAACCTGAGCCTCGCTATCCTCATAAAAACTCTTTACAGCATTAGTAACTTACCACCTATTCCATATACAGTGGACCCCGCATAACGATGGCATCACATAGCGATTATTTCGCATACCGCTTACTTTAATCGCAAAATTTTTGCCGCGCATACCGATTAAAAACCCGCTTCACCGATTTCGTCCGAGACCGTCCAATGTGCGCCCTCAGCCAGCCTCACATGTGCCGCCCGTGCCATTGTTTACCAGCCAGCCTCCGCGGTAACATCCAAGCATACACTCGGATATTTCGTATTATTACAGTGTTTTCGGTGCTGTTTCTGGAAAAT